CCAAATTCTCACTCTGCCATCTGTATGATGCAACTGGAAACGTGATTCATCGGACCACATGACTTTTTCCCAATGCTTGACTGTCCAATCCTTGTGTTTCTGTGCTTGAGTAACTGTCATGGTAAACAACCTGCTTCCTTATTTATAATGGTCTGGCCTTCTAGCAACTTCAGCACGAAATTATAGCTAATTTGCCTACAAACGTCAGGTGGTCATAATAATCTGGCCACTCAGACTAGAGGCCCGGTACACAAAATTCATGCATGGGGCAGGGTGTCCCTTAGCCTGGCCTGCACCCTCTCCAATCTGGACCCCTTGGGGGATGTCCGACTGCTGTTTAGGACCCATCGTTTAGGACTGCTGGCTCCTAAACGCTCGCCTGACTGCTTGCCTGATTGCCCCTAATCACTTCTGCCTGCCAGCCTGATCACCCCCTAGCCGCTCCCCTGCCAGCCTGATTGATGCCTAACTGCTCCCGTGCCAGCCTGATCACCCCCAACTGCCCTCTCCTGCTGGCCTGGTCACCCCCAACTGTCCTCTCCCCTGCCAGCCTGTTGGCTCCCAACTGCCCTCCCCTGGTGGCCTGTTTGCCCACAACTGCCCTCCCCTGCCAGCCATCTTGTGGTGGCCATCTTGTTACAACATGAGGGCAGCCATCTTGTGGCAGCCACCTTGTGACGACATCAGGCAACACCACCTAGGCTTTTATTATATAGGATTACACAGAGCATGTTATCATCTTTTTCCATCCTCTAGAGCAGCAGTTCTCAACCTGTGGGTTGCGACCCCTTTGGGGGTCGAACGACCCTTTCACAGGGGTCGCCTAAGACCATCAGAAAACACACATATAATTACATATTGTTTTTGTGATTAATCACTATGCTTGAATTATGTTCAATTTGTAACAATGAAATGGGGGATCACCACAACATGAAAAACTGTATTAAAGGATCGTGGCATTAGGAAGGTTGAGAACCACTGCTCTAGACCTTTATTGATAAATCACATGCCAATACCTCAAACTCAACACATTCCAGACTCAACTGTGCTGTTGGGTGTCAAACTCAGTTAATGTGTCACCATCAGAAGTCAGCCATTGCAGTCAAGTTGCAGTCTTTTGGACTTCTGCCCTACTTACATTATTTCCTTGATATTGTCTTTCTTTCCTCCCCTCTCCCCCTTTGAACTTCTACTCTTTCTAATTCCCAGCTCAGATGTTACCTCCATTCTGAATTCATTCCTATGCCCCAGCCAGTTAATCTGGCTTCTTCCATGGTACTTAGAACTTCATCTGTGGTGTCACATATCATGCGTTCTGTCTCTACCTCAAGTTGGTGAAATGAAATGTTAGATTTAAAAAAATGAACTATTTTCACTTGCAGAAAAGGCAAAGAAAGAAAAGCTGAAGAAAATTTAACAAGCAAAAGAAAAAAAGCACACCTTTTCAAAACTGTGTGGAAATTACAAGAATTTTTTTAACTAAAGGACTTGTGTGCACATACGCATAACCATGGACACAGACAATAGTGTGGTAAAGGTCTGGGGCAGGGGTGTGCTGGAAGGGATCAATGGAGGAAAAAAGGAGACATATGTAATACATTCAACAATAAAAGTTTAAAAAGAAAATTCCCCCTAATGTTACCTAGATGATGTCTATTTCTGTTTTAATTCTTAAGCTGCCACTCCTGAAACACAGAAGACATTGCTAATCTCATCTCCAAATAATTTATTTCTAATTGAGAGCTACCAGGAACCTCACTGTAAGTTTATGGAACAAATAAAAGGCAGATTATTTTTCAAAAAAAAAATCACAAGAAATTTTTAAATGGACAAATTCAGAAAAAATAAATCTCTTTGAAAATGTATTAGTGTCTTTTAGGTATTGTAGGTATTTCCATCCAGCCATCCACCCCGCCTCTCCACACACCCATTCTCCCTGCCCATTAGGAGACGTCATCTGAGGATGAAGGAGAATACACAAGGCTCCTCACATAAATAGGCTTTCCCAGGGCTGAGGAGAGGTGTTGCTGCACTGACTGTCCAGCTCTCTCAGTTCCTGCTCTCCGGCTTCTGAATGCTGTGTCACCCATTTCTCTTGCCTCAGTTCTGACTCCAGGCTCCATCCTGGTTTCCTCCCATGGGCGTGTTCTATGTCTCAACTGTTGTACACTTTGTCTTAGCTCTCTGGAGCTTTTCTAACTGTCTGTTCCCCATACTCTTCTGTCTGTGACTCAGGAGGACGAGATAAGTACTCCCAATATTTATTCTTAAAGATGAATCACCCTGGGGGAGAACAATGGGATGATACCCTGAAAGCCCTGTCAGTTGCACTAAAGGTTATTTCGATCCCTAATGCTTATGGATTCATGTTTTTAAAAGAAACGAGCAGAAGCCATGGATGATCCTCATGAGAGCAAATGAATGATTGTTAATTTAGGAAAGAGAAACTCTGAGAAAAGGCAAAGGAAGTGATAATAATTAGGCTGGAAACTGGCAATGAGGAATGACAACTGCACCTTGCTTACAAGTGAAATTTAAAAAAAAAAAAAAAAAAGGCCCAGCTGGCTTGGCTCAGTGGTTGAGTTTTGACCTATGAACCAGGAGGTCACGGTTCGATTCCCAGTCAGGGCACATGCCCAGGTTGTGGGCTCCATCCCCAGGGTGGGACTTGTAGGAGGCAGCCTATAAATCATCATTGACATTTCTCTCTCTCTCCCTTTCCCTTCCTCTCTGAAATT